TAGATAGATAGATAGATAGATAGATAGATAGATAGATAGATAGATAGATAGATAGATAGATAGATAGATAGATAGATAGATAGATAGATAGAAATAAGAACTTAAAGAACTTAGGGAAGTCCATCTGAAAATAAGGTATGACTGACCTCTAAAAGAAATCTCATAAAGCGAGCCTCCTTAATATCCTCATAGAGCCAGCATCTGCAAGTAGCTGATGGCAGCTCTTTATTCAGCATGTTGGAAATAAAGGAATCTCGTATACTGGGGGGAAAAAAGGCCACAGAAGATGGTGAATGTCGAACAGAAATGAGCAGTAAGAAACATTATGTTCTTTGCAGTGACAGCAGATAACTGGGCTACGTACACTGCAGTACTGTACCTGCTTGGGTGGTGTCTCCTGCAACAAACATCTCCAGTCGAACTGAGTGTGTAGCCCTCACACAGGAGCAGACTCTCCACCCCAAACAGCAGCAAACCTTCAGTCACTCTGAGGCCACTCACCACCACCACACACATCTTTGCCTTTACCTGCAGAGACAAACAGATTGAAGCCCAAAAGGAAAACCGTAATACCCATGAGCTCGTTCCTCTCTCAGGACGTGACATGGCAGATACGCTTTACTTGAATGATCATTTTAATCACATATTTTAATCACTATTAAAAWGACACAGTTGAACACTTCATTATCAGGGCTGATTGATGGGGAGGAGAAGGCCCTGCCCCCTTTTCAACAGCACGACAGCATTTCATCTTGCACCAAAGTGAATCCAAATGCTGCTTTCACTGTGGGTTGTAGCTAACGCTAACTGCATTGTGATAAAGTGTGGATAATCTATTGTCTCCCCTCATTTCATGACCAGTGCGTGCACCTGGCCATCTCCCTGTCCTGGCTCCTATGGGGACCCTCCGGGACGTAGCACCCAAGAACCATATGGGGTCCTTAACATCCCCGCAGGCCCCTCACAATTTATACTAATCAAATCAGATTCCCCACACCCAGACGCACGCAGTCGCACACTTGGTGGACAAGGAGGAGGTCCTGCCTTGCCGTTATTAGAGGAATTAATCACTGCCACACACACAATAGCAAACCTGATAAGTGATCAGAATCCCGTGTCTCAAAGCAAACACGGCGACACGCCATGATGGATAAGATCACTTATCATGTGAAGGTGTTTAAGAGGAGTCAAGGTGAGCGAGTCTCAGCTGCATCCACTTCTGAGCTGCTGGCATCAGTGCGTGCAAACTGTCGCCACTAATCACTGGATTAAACGAGTTGAATTTATTGTTATCAAAAGTTAAATACATAACAATAAACTTGTTTCCTTATCTCTTTACTGTGGTCCAGACAGATAAGCGTTATCAGGCTGCGGATGATTTAGCTGATGATGGGAAGGACGAGAGAAACGGAGGACTTTTATTGACTGAGAGCCTAATGTCAGACCATTGATTTCTCCCCAAACACATTATTGTCATAATCACACTATTGGCGCTGGCAAGCTAATTATGAGTGGGTCTCCCTTTTGTGTGAGTGTTAGCCTGCGAGTGTGTGTGCATTTTTCAGAGCTAATGACTGTGTTCATTTGACAGGAAGCTCAGCAGGAGTCGTGCACTGAACCACTCACTACAAGACAATAGGACACACTAGCACACATCACACACTTGCTAAGCGGATGTAAGACAGCTTGCATCACCTCCTACTGCTTTTATTAATACTTCTGTCAGAAACATTAAAAGCCGCGGCTGGTTGCCGGAGCAGTGAGATGCCCTGTCAACATTGTGCGTGGTTTTTAACTCACTGTAACAATGAAGAGAGCTGCGCTTTGCCTCGCCATTAAAATATTAAACTAATGAGGAAAGATAAAATTTTGATAGCAGCACTGGGCTATTGGAATCGCTTAGCCTGCATCAGATAATTACAGCATGAATCTGATTATTAGCGGGATGRGAAGCGGTTGTGCTTGTGTTTAGACTTTTATTTTCAGCACCCCGTGCCAAAACAGTGTCCTACGCCACAGTACCTTCTCTCCAGGGAGTAGCTCCTGCAGAATGATGCGCATGTCGGGACAGTCCTGTGTGTGTGAGCAGAGCTCGGGGGTGAAAGAGTCAGGCAGGCCCTCAGTGACTGATGGTGCCTCGTTCAGAACAGGAAAGAACGTCAGACGGTCACAGCTCTGTCCTCCCTCGCCTCCATCCTCTTTAACCTCGCCACTAACTTCGCACAAAAGCTTCGACTCTGTAACATGCACAGATACGTTTTGTCACTGAACATCACTGCAAAAAATATCCACCTAATCAAGTTTTAAAATCTTATATCCAGCCAAAAAGTCTTTTTGATCTTGTTTTGAGACTGATTTACTAAACAAGAACTGATTGTGTAAGAATAATAATCTTGTTTTCAGAATGTGTAAGATTATTTGTCTTGTTAGCCTGAAAATTTGACTCAAAGCCAAAAATTTCTGCCAATGGAGTAAGAAATTTTTACTTGGTAAGATTATTGAAATACTTGATTTGACTCGATTTTTTTCTTATTTCAAGAATCTTACCAAGTAAAAATTTCTTACTCCATTGGAAGATATTTTGACTTTGAGTCAAATTTTCAGGCTAACAAGACAAATAATCTTACACATTCTGAAAACAAGATTATTATTCTTACACAATCAGTTTTTGTTTAGTAAATCAGTCTCAAAACAAGATCAAAAAGACTTTTTGGCTGGATATAAGATTTTAAGACTTGGTAAGATGAACAGTTTTTGCAGTCGAATGGCGAAGCTGTTTCTAAATATAAAAAAATAAATAAATAAAATAAATTACCAGCTTCTCCGTCTGTTTTAATATTGTTTGTTTCAGATTTTAAACCCAGACACAGCATTCCCAGAACCTGCGGCATAAAACAAATGTCACTGTGAAAGACCGGACGTTGCAGTGGAAATGTTAAAGAAATGTTCAAGTATAATAAATCTGAATTCCATGAATTTGCAGTTTCCTTATTTCACAACTTTGCAACATTTTTTTATATTTTGTTTTGTATTTAGAGTAAAATGCAGAATAAATCAGTGTTTGTATAAAACAAGACGGTTTTATGATTTGCAGGTCAAAATCCACTTGGCTACAGTTTCAAAAAAACAGTTCTCTAACACTCTAGTACACGGGTCTGCAACCCTTATGCTCAAAAGAGCCATTTGTGCTCCTTGTCTCACTAATAAAATGTGTTCGGAGCCACAAAACAAGCTACAACTGTGTTTATCAACTGGTGGTCCGTGGGCCTTTTTCAAGGCCTTTTCGGGAACCTTTACGGTCAGTGGAGGTGACATTATAAAACTAAAAAAATATTGTTACTATTATTATATTATTTATTATTATACATGTCAGGACAAATAAAAAGACCCTATTCATGTAAACAAACAAGAAAAATAC